CGAAGTGATACGAAAGCAACCCCCTGTATCCCTCGATAATTCACGACGAGAGCAAATCTAGTCTCCTCTTGGCCTCTCGCGCGCGGTCAAGACGAAACAGTCCCGTAGCGTTGGCGGTAAAACAAAGTAATTGTGTTGCTGGAAGATAGCCAGCCCCAGCGAGCGTCTGGTATAACAGCTGTCAAGGAGAAATTTCGCCGCTGCAGTACAACCGCTGATCCGGGGTCTCTAACGTGCGTATCGTAGTAGTGATCCACGACCTCACACCGGTACTATGTTCATCCGAAACGGGCGGGGATGGACGGGCAGGGGTAGAGACTTGAGCCCAGGATGCCTGGGTTATGGAGCGCAAGTTTTCGCAACTCGCGCTCCGAGCTAGGGTACGTTAACGGATTCGACCACCGAATCCCTATTGGCGGTAACTGCCGCCTTTTATCCGTCACGAAAACACCTAGTAACTACGGAACGCTCTCTTTTACTGTCATCGGTCGCGTCGCGGAGGCAATCACATGTCACTGGGTACACAGATTTCTGTACCTTTAGATTGACCTGTTTAGAAAGGATCACTTAGCTCCCGTTCAGCGATCCAACGTGCACGGGGTGGTAGCGAAGAGAAGCTCTTGGGTTTATTGAACTGCAGCTAATTCCAAGCGAGCACCAAAGTAAACTTAACGAAAATATATAATACAACCTTGACAGGGGTCGTTGAGTATAATATCACCTTAAACAGGTCTGCGAGCAATTAATTCACTTTTCCTAAATGCCAGCTTAATGAAAAAAATAAAAAATAAAGATTTCAGAGAACGCCAGATGGGTCGCACAAAGCAAGAACAGCGACCCTAAGTGGCATAGTCTCCCGACTTGCGCTTAGCCGAGAAAAAGTAGCAACGCCCATTAAATCGACCCGGTGACTGTTTGGCACCGTGTTTACCGTGCACGCCCGCACGCACGCACGTACAGTAAGGGCGAAGAGGGAAAGAAAGAAACCCAGAGAAGCACCACACTCTCAACAAAAGCGGAATTGATAAAAAAAAAAAACAAGAAAACACGATAATGCAGTTTTGAAACAAAATAGAAAAATCCAGTAAAGACGAAGCATTTGAATCGCAACAAGCTATCGGGAACAGATAAAATCTTCACTCTACCTCACTCCTGCTCTTTCTCGCATTTCTTCCTGCCAATACCTTAAAAATAAAGACAAAAACAAAAAATAGAAAACACCCAAGATCGCCTTACGAAACGGTACGATTCTTCGCCGCTTGGCATTCATTTGCCTCCGCACAACTGCCAAAAATAAAAAAAAAATAAAAAACTACAGCTTTGGGCAAAGACAAATACTAAAAACAAAAAACTCCAAGCAAAGATGCCACATGAATCCGAGAGTTCGAAAAATAAAAATAAATACGTATTCAAACCTTCCCCTCAGATCTCCGTTACTTCTTTTACGTTATCTTTTTTTCTTCCCCGCTCGCATCTTGGCCGTCGAAATCCGAGAGGAGGGTCCAGGTTATTTTCCACCCATCCCTCTCTCTCCTCATCTCAGCTTTACGTCTCTTCCCTCTTCCTCGTTCAATCCCGAGTAGTTTCGTCCTTTCCACTCCGCCCAACACTCGAAACAGATGTTCCTGATATGATCATTTATAACCCACCCTCAAAAATAATTATTTTTCATCCCCCCCATTCCCTTTTCCCCCGTTTCTTCCTCCTCGCAACGAAACAAATGGCAGAGAGAAACTTCTCGAAATAAAAAGGAGCAGCGCTCGCCACCAGAGTACCCGATTGCAGCGAACACGCGACACGGTAGCTGTTACCTCATTTTGAAAATAAATAGAAATAATAATAATTAAAAAAAAAAGAAAAGAGGAAGACATTCATAACGAGCGACCGAATAAACGATCCTCTTCACCACTGCGTCTTGCAGTCCCTGCTTTTTAGCCGCTTAATGTCTCACATTTTGTTTCATTACTCATAAGACTTCCATCTTTTTTTATTCTTCCCCTTTCCCTCCTCAAGTCGGCATATGACCCTCAAAGCACACTCGCTTGCCCCTCACCCCAAAAGTGGAAAGTTTTGATTTTAATCTATTTAGAATATTTTTTTTTCTATGTACGTTTATTCGAAACGAGGTTTATCGTTCCAAGAAACTCCGAACGATTAAGATCGAAGGATCCATCGCGAGAAGGCCTGCCCGGTTTCAAATTATAACGAACGACTCGCGTGTTCCGTCGCCTCATTCTCCACCATCCGCAGGCTCTTGCAGCAACGCTTCGTTCATTGCACCCCTAATTGCCGCGAGACGAACTAACAAGGCAAAGAAAGACATCATAACCTTGAAATACACACTGCAAGTAAAAATGCAAATAAAAAACATACAGCAGGTCCTTCCCTCTCTCTTGTGATCTCTCTCCCTTTCTCAAACCAAAATAAAAAAAAACGTTCAAATCAAACCTTTATTAAAAAAAAAAAAAAAGAAACGGCAAGTGTGCAATTGATTATTACCGTATAGTTTTTTTTTTTTGTTTTTTTTTTTTTGCTGCAAGAGTTTAAACGGCCAATGAGCTTTTGGTGGAAGAAAACACAAGCTAAGACGATGTTCTTCTTGTGGATTCCGCAATACTTACCCGAAACCCGCCGCGTGCGTACTTTTCCTTTCAAACATTTTTCGAGAGATTTCTCATTTCGAGTTGCGCAAATTGAAACGTGGCAAAACGCCGCCGACGCGAAGATATTTTTTTTTTATTGGCAGCGAAATAACTTATTGATTACAATAAAAAATCACGTTTTTTATTATTGTTAATTTTGGACTCCGTTTAGTTACATCTTGAGGCTTCCAACTTGGACGAACTCCGCACACAGCAACCTCCGACTATTATTATTCCCGACTCTAGTGTGCCTAGGCGAGAGAGTGTTTTTCGAAGTGCTCGATGGAGGACGTCATCGAGCACTTCGGAACATTCTGTAATCTGGTTCAAGGGCCGCATTTGCAATGCGAGCTGCAAGGAGGAGTAGAAAGCGTCGATCGCATTCAAGCGTTTCCGCCTCGCTGCCCGCTTTCCGCCCCGCCTTGCGGCAACGAGACGTAGGCTTCCCAGTTGCCCCCTCTCTGAAATCTAAGCCCTCTAGCGCAGGAGGCGACGACGCCACCCAGCGGAGAAGACCCGAAGGAGATGAAGCGAAAAGCTTCGACTGTGAAACGAAGAAAACTGGCGTGGCCCATCGCGTGAAGTGTAGAAAATGGGTCTAAATGCGCGTCCCCGGGGTTGCCAAGAGCATACCCCCTCAGTGTTCACAATGTTCCGGCATGAGGGAGTGTGACAATACAAAATGAAAATGTCGAAGCCGGTTGAAATTTGAACGCATAGCGAGGCTATCAGATTACTGCATGAATTTCTTTTTTTTTATTATTATTATTCTTTTTGTGTGTGTTTCTGCGGCTTTCAGGCAATTCTTCTCGAAATGGGAATCGTCATGTCCGCTGAACTCCATTAAAAATTCCCGTCAATTTTTTCCCCGCGTAGTCTAGGCTATTGGGTTGTTTTGGTGCTGTCTTTCCCTGCATGCATGTTCCCGTCTCGCCCAGCCCCACGAACGTTGATACGAGGTCACATGTCTCGATACGACGTGAAGTGTCCGAATATAGCGTCACCTATCGCGAAATCACATCGATACGATGATTACGTTATTTATCTCGATATCAAGTCACTAGCCTCGGTTAGCTGGACCGTACCTCACATGACGTCAGGTTGCTACGACGTTATGTACGACCTCGCTGCCACCGCGTACGCATTACAAAAACAGAAAAAGAAAAACTGTCAGGGGTTAGAGCGGCACACACAGCGGGACAAGCTGCCCCTCGTTCAGAGAAAGACAGCCAGCTGCGCATAGGTCCACCCCCGCAGTGCGCGTTCCAAGCGAACTACTACAACGCGTACTACCTTCCTCGGACCAACGCCACCTAGAAGACAAGGCCCACGCATTACGTCATCACTAGTGAACCCCCAACCCGCCCCGCCCCGCCCCAGCAACAAACACAGCTCATTATGTGAGACGCCACGAGAGGCACGGGCGGCATGCGCCAGTTAAAGGCAGTGCCTGCGTGAACCCACTTGTGCTGACGTGTGTGGAGGGTCTTGTCTTCTAGGAGGTATTGCTCAGACCCCCATTGTCCTGTCGCTTTAGGGCAGCCAGAACGCGAAGCACACGCGCACGCCCCCGCTGAGCACGACACGACAGCATTGTGCGCGCGCTAGTAGCAGGTGGGACCGGTAGCGTCGGCGGTGAACGCGGGCCAAAACCCGACACGAGAGAAAACAATGGGGGGACAAAGAACTTGCCCAAGACGTCGCGTCGCTCCATTTGGAACGTATCGACATGTCGCCCCAGCACGAAAACAGCGGCATCCTTAGCTCAGTTGTCCTCGCTCGCCGGATGCTTCCTCGCTTCGTACACAAAACGAAGCCCGAATGCACTGGGGTTCACCTCGAAACAACGAAGGGTCCCTACCGCCGAAGAACTAAGCGAACTTCGCGGCCACGAGCATATTACTCCGAGACATAGCCGCTGCGACGCTCGATGCACAAAGAATCTGATTTAACTGGCCAACCCAAGCAGCAACCATAGTTTCGATTACCTCAATGCCGCAGCGAACCCTTTCACTTTCGTGGGTGGACGTAGAGCCACTAGCCACGTTGCATACACAGCACAGACACTCTAGTCCCCGACTGGGTTGTGGGAGCCGCCATTTTGTCGCCCAGTGCGCGGCGCGGACAAGCGGCGATAGTGACGATAGTTGCGGGGAAACGACCCCGACGATGGCCTGCCGCGACCGATCTAAGGACAAATTAAATCGGGACCGCCGTCATTATTTCCGTTGCGTCTTTCGCCACTTTCTGGAATCTACCGCGTACCCACGGACACGGAATCCCAAAAGGCATGAGAAACCCTGCAACGGCATCCTGGAGAAAGGTGACCCCGTGAGAGGAAAGGCAGCGAAGACTCACCATTTCTGTTTTCGCTGTCAGCAGGTTTCATCTGTATCGGGTGGTGCATCTGCCAAAAAAACAACAAAACAAAAAAGTCAGCGAGAAGCAGTAGCCAGCCTCGACAAGCAGATAAGTGGATCAATCCGGCCAAGCCAAAACACACTTCGAAGCTCAACAGAAACAGATGTACTGGGCCGCTAGTGATGTGCAACCGTCACAAGTAAGTATACAAAGCAATTTATGGCAATACGTTATGCAAAAAAATAAATTCATAAATGAAACCCGAGACGTTAAGGTAGTTACATTATAACGCACTCAACAATTTTAAACTTAAATCTGCACTTCCTTGTTCACAAATAGTGCCAATTTTTTACAAAAAAAAAAAGACTTTTTATGCCTTTTTTAGTTATGTCGGTCGAGACAGCGGCAACTTGAGTTACATTTGATCACGTGACTGATGACATTTAACACATGTAAAGAAAGTGTGACAAACAAACGATTGTAGTTAAAAAGATTTCAGAGTGTTTGTTTACGGCGCGAGAAAATCACACGCTATCTTGCACGAACGAGATCAATAGACGAAAGCAGAGAGCAAACGGGCAACCCTGCAAGATAGAGTCATGTGTTCCAAATCCGGTTACTCTTTGGACTCAACACGTCATCGCATACCAGCTAACTAACAATTCTCCGTGACTAAAAAAAAAAAAAAGTTCAGAGAACGACATTGTAACGAGAAACATCGTTAACACGACGTCAGCAGAATAACCCACAACACCTAAAAAGAGAAACAAAAGTGTTAGTAAATGCCATAAAAAAGCGCATCGAAAGTTCGTCAGAAGCAGGTAATTAAAAGGAAGTAAAACAACCCTTCAATCAAGGAATACGTCGCATCAATAAGGAGATACGCTTAATTAGTACGAATCACCCAATACATTTTCGCGCAGGAGTACGAGACACAGGAGGCCCACAAACCAGAAATTCCGAGATAAAACTAGCCTTGGTCAAGAATCAGAAGAGCCAATAGCGAGTTCGCGTATTTTATGTATCAATACCGCCATCCCGTTGGGACCAAAGCAGGAGATTGTAAGGATTACATAGGACTAATCTAGCGATAAACAAGCACGCTACCCTTACGCTACCCCCGAAAAGCTGTCCGCATTACGCTTGCGCAGAAATGTTTCGTTTACAGAAGTGAAGCATGTGCGCACGCGACATTAGGCAACCAACGAAACCGTCGTGGCGTGACGTCACAAACGCAGTGTGCGCATAATAATCATACAAGTATCAAAACTTCACGTCGCCACTCGTGTATTAAAATCAATTACTCTTCCAGACTATAAACACTGTAAAGTAAAAGAAAAAGGAAACCACAACACGCACGGATTTATTTTAACCATTCAAAGAGTCGGTAAAACATTACTGCAGAGGTCGGTACCCACAACCAGCATCCCCAAACACCTTCCCCAAATCCATAGTTTCCTCCTGTTGTAAGAAACTTCAAAAAAAAAAAAAAAGGGGGAGGGGGGGGAATAAAAAAGAAAACAACGGGGCGAAGAGGAGTTCGGTCTCATATCAAACTGCGGACAAAGCGATTCTCTTTTGAACGCACCGACCGCTTCCCTTCGTCCCGCCTATCTCTATCTCCCTCTCTCTCTCTTTCTCTTCTTCCACTCGCATTCCGAAGTCGGAGCAGAGAGGTTTTTCACTTTCCTCCCTGTTGTTACTGATGCACTTTTTTTTTTTTTTTTTTTTCCTTATCGTATGTCGGTTTTTAGAGATACGTGCAGCACCTCCCCGCAGTATTCTTTCGCTCTCTTTTTTCTTCCATTCTTCGGTTTATTCTTCCAACGTGCAAAGAGTTTTAAAGCCAAGAGCCACTCTTTCTCTTCACGAGAATCGACGCGGCGACAAGAACGGCGTAATAAATTCAAGACGCGTGCGATGAGCGAGCGGCTGTAGCGCTCGTCGGTGAAAAGAAGAAACTGCCTATAACGCGCACGAAACGTTTATCATAAAAATGACTAAAAATTAAAAAAACGCGCTCGCACACATAAAACTATATGGCGGTGCATTAGTAAAGATTACCGGTATTCCGCGTCGCGTAAGCGAACTACCTTCCATATTCATCATGGAAAGCTCCGCCTGGAGGTGAACAAGAGAGGGCACAGCTTGTGAAAAATTCAGCTGGTGACGTGACGCCATTGGAACGAGAAAGTGGACTCGATTTCCAGAAGAAAACAGACAACGCAGGATGAGAGGTGATAGAGGATTCAATCAATCGCATGCGCTACGCTCCCTTTTTCCCCTACGATGGGTCGCAGCGGACGCTACTAACCATCCCAGCCTATTCGGCGCTGTGAAATTGTTACGCAGATGGATGGATGATAATGGCTGCACGCTTTATAACGGGCGGTAGCTTGCGCCGCCTAGCCTAAAAAACAAGAAGTATAATTCCCCCCCATCGCCCTTCTAAGCCAATTTGCTTCCCCTCTGCATTTTTGTCACTATCACCAGGCGGTGTGAAATATCGCCAAAGTAACCATTAAACATCGAAAAAAAAAAAAGACATCACTTTTCGTTTCTTTTTTTTTTTTTTTTCTTCGACGAGGGAGTCTTAATTTTCCTCTGTCCCCGGCTGTGCTAGTTAGTTTTACTTCATTCAAGTTTTTTCGCGATAAATTCCACAAATTTTCTAAGCTCTTTTGATGCCATTCTTGCATCCTCGCCAGCAAAACCCAGAGCCCCCCCGTCAGAAACGTGACTCCTACACGGAGACAAGGGCGAAGCCCCGTGCACTTCAAAACCATATAATCTAGCGTCTTAGGCTATGGCATACTGCGTACAATAGAGTTTGAGTAGATCGTATTCTGCGAAAAGCGGGCCCAGCTAACGCGTGCTGAATTCATGCTTCAGGGTGACGGCACGAACTCCCCCTAGCAAAGCGCAGTTCTAAAATACGGTCTACTTGAAGTCTCAATCGTGTCTATCTCTTGTTATTTAGTCCTATACGTCTGTCACCTTTCGTGTTCCTGCCCCGCGACTACACTACCAAAACAATGTTTTCAGTTTAGCGGGTTCCCAATAACCCAATAAACAGTCTTCGCACAATAAAAAAGAAAAGTTTAGAAAGCACGGGGCTAATAGGATTCTAAGATTCGAGCTCGGTTAATGATCGCTCCAAGCGACGTTAGACGAGTTAGATACCTTGCAAAATGGAGTTTTTTTTCTTTTTTTTCAAAAGCACGTGAAAGCCGTTACTGAAGCATTGAACTGCCACAAAATATTCCGCTGTGGACCGAAACGGAGGTGTACTTCGACGACAATGCACCTGCTAGCACCTGATAACAGGCAGGATCATGCAGTAGATATTGTTCCATGCATGAAAGCGATCTGCGCCGAACAACAGTTCCATTAAAGAGTTCATTTATTTATTATACCGTTTTCTGCAGATTATAACAAGAAATTGTGCTCACCTAAAATTAAGCGGTGTTAGCGGTTTTCCAGGATTCTTACGACGGATTTGATTTTCAAGTTGGCAACAGTGCTCCCCGCGCCCCTACCGAAAGTCACGTGACACACTCACACCACACCGAATTGCCTTCGATGGCCCGTAGCGTCTCCCGCGGTACGTCCTATAGGGAGGATATACTATATGTCGCCTTCGCCATGCGTCTCCGCGGGACTACGAACGAGCGATTCAGCAGAGACGTCGAAACGAAACTGTTTTGACGCCAACAAACGCACGCGTCGCGGTAGTCCGAGCATTGCAGTTAGGACTATAGCTAGGGAACTATTCGTTCAACCTTAACTCAACTTCATGTCGTTTCTTTATTTTTTTGTCAAGTTGCGGGGGAAATAAAAAAAAAAAAACATTTTAGTCACTTAGACGCACACGTTGGCGAAAAGACTGCAAGCGAAAAAGGACAAAACACTCCCTCGGGCTGGTCTACGTCGTACGATAGGTGAGCGGTGGTAGTCTCTTTGCATCGAGACGTCTTGAACATATAAAACTTTGTAGCATTACTTGCTCACAGTCGAATAAAATAAACGCGCTTAACCCTTCAAACAAATAAAAATAAAAAAACTTTGTTTACCCTTAAGTTACACACACACACGGAACCCCCCCCCCCCCCCCCCCTTTCTTGCTCACCCCCACACATACAGACACGCATCTCGTCCGTTCAGCGGAAGTTGGCAGTGCACAGGCGAAAAAAAACATTTTTATCGAAAAGCGAACCGTATGCGCATGCGCGAGTGAAACGGCGTGCGTCAGTAAGGACTAAAGTAATAAAGAGAAAGGCCAAGGACATAACGCAAAACGAGAAGAGAGAGGCGGCAGGTAGAGAGGAAATGGACGAAAGGAGGGATAAAAATGAGGAGGGAGGGAGGGAACGGGATCAAAAGAAAATACGTTCGAACAACAAAACTGGGAGATGTAGACAGAACGGGGCGGGTATTTTCTCTCTTCTCCGCCAGGGGCGGGGCAGAGCGGCTAAAAAAAGCTAAAAATAGGGGCCCGTCCCGTCCGAATCAACAGAGTGCCAGCGAGTACCGAAGGAAACGAGAAAGACAACTTCGGAAATCAACACCAACTGCCCACGACTAAAAAAACAAATAGAAAAAAAAAAGGTTAGGCGAAGCGGGAAATATATACACAGACGGAGGAGCCAAAATCAGACAGAAAGAAACCAAAGAAAGCAAACGAGAGAGCAGGAGACCCCGGGAACAGGACCGCGTAAACATTTGCCTATCGTAAATTCCGCACGGCGGGGGAAGAACGTTGCGACTGATCCTCGCAACAAGCGACTGAAGTGTGCGCAAATAACCCGCCCGCCCTATATAGAAGGCCAGAAATATTAACAACGAGAGAAAGAAAAGGAGAAGCGCAGAACCCGCATTCAAAATCGAGGGATAGCTTCGGTGTAGCGAAGACTCCTGTTTGCGCCGACAAAATCGCGCCATCTATATGGAACACCAACGGGAGATCGTGAAAATAGCTGACGTCAACACTTCCTCGATTCATGAGCACAGCAGTTTGTGATCGTGCACACGGTGGGACTGACCAAT